ACCTAGGTTTCCTGCTACAAGGAAACTAATAAAGTCTGTTTTTTATTAAAATATTGATAGCTTAGTACAAAATGAATAAATTTGCCAAGTTTGATCAAAATATATCCATAAACAAGCAAACTACAACATTTGACAATATTCTCCATAAGAATAACATGGGAGTTTTATATTTACAATTTTTTTTAATTTTCTCCGTTGCTAATAACCGAACAAAAATACTTTTATATACTAAATTATTTGTTTTTTTAAGCTCTTTAAGAGGGTCTAAAGAGAAATTGGAAAAAATTTATTTTTGAGGGTCAAAAGTGAGAAAAACCAATTTTTACCCCATAAAACCCCCCGTAAAGCCCCGTTCCCATGGTCCGATCATGCTGGTTCGCGAACTCATTCAAGTTTATCCCGCTTTACACATTTTAACAAAATTTCATCAAAATCGGACAAAAACTACTCAAGTTATCGCGTTCACGGACGTATATATATATACATTACATATATAAAAATTTGAACAGATGGTGTTTTTGGCCTCTGGGGACATCAAAATGAAAAAGTAAATCGGTCCAGGGTCTAGGTCTTATCGTGCCACCTACGGTAATAGCTACTTCCCTATAGGGAAATTCGCTAACAATGTAAAGTAGGCTATACTGTTTTATATATAATTTTGTTTGGAAAATTATGGGCTTCAATGTAACATATAAAACATTACAAAAAATGTTCAACAATTTTTGTGGGGTTATTATTTCTCAAAAATTAAAAAATAAATGAAAAAAATTATATTTACGCTCAATAAATTGTTATAATTTATAGGTCTACAAATATTTTAACTTGGTTCAGAATTTTATGAGGATTCCAAAAATATAATAATATAAGGATGTAGGTTTGCAAATAAATAAGTTATGGGCAAAAAACAATACATTAGTAGAAGAAACAGGAAAATTTGGCTTACAAATTAATGACAGTAAAACAAAATTCATGAAGTGCGGAAGATGGGATGGTAGAGAAGAAAATGATGAAGATGATGATGATATCTTACAGATAGAGAGCCACTCTTTTCAGAAAGTAAATAGCTTTCAGTATCTAGGAGTCCTATTATCAGACAACAATAATGAAGAATTGGAAGTAATAAACAGGTTAAATTCGGCTAACAGGTCCCTCCATGCATGCAATAGATTGTTAAGCTCAAAATTATTATCCCACAACACCAAATTACGTATTTATAAAACAATAATAAGACCGGTTTTACTGTATGGCTCAGAAACATGGGCAATGAGCAAAAAAATAGAAAAGAAAATTATAACATTTGAAAACAAGGTTCTCAGGAAAATATATGGCCCGACGCTCGAAGATGGAATATGGAGAATGAGACACAACATCGAGATTAGAGAGCGCTATAAAGACCCTGACATCATAGCGGAAGTCAAGAGCAGAAGATTGAGATGGTTTGGTCATATTTCGAGAAGAGAGGAAGACTCCACTACGAGAAATGTACTTCATAGAAACCCCGAAGGCAGGAGACCACGAGGCCGTCCCAAACTTAGGTGGAAGGATCAAGTGCATAAAGATGTAAGAAGACTGGGAAGGAGTGAAAATGACACCAAAGACAGAGACATCTGGAGGCAGTGTGTGGGCGAGGCCAAGTACCTCTTAGGGTACCAGTGGCCACTCCAGTAAACAGTAAACAGTAAAACAGTATGGGCAAAAAACAGATTTTGGTACATAGTGTTTAGCTAAGAATGCATAGCCTAACCATAGCTAGGAATCTGGCTGATAATTTACATCAATATCACTACCTACTAAAAAAACTATACCTAACTCGATCCAGTTCAATCCAATTCAGTCAGTCCCAGAGCCGTCGCCGTAAACAGTGTTTGTGAGTCGCAAAAGCGACACATAACACTACAGCAGATATGTTATGAGTCGCTTTTATGACACATAACACTCTGAGGGTTAAGGCAGATGAGTTTTTCTTTACATATACAAAATGGATTATACATGATTACAGATCACTATAGTATTGTTTTAAGGAAAGCCAAGTGGCCAATGACTTTGTTTAAAAAGGGATAGAATTCAGCTAGAAATCACAGAAAATGAGAGTCCAGAGAATAATTTTGTCCTGATGGACTTCTACAGAGAGTAGATTCAAGAGGAAGATTTTCTCTATAAATCTGTGTTTACACGAGGCCAGTATGCAGGCAAGTTACCAGTTATAGTCCGTAAGGTTGACGAAGGACTCTGAGGGATTAACGTCCCTTCCACCAACGCTCGCACACTCGCCAGCAGGGCCCTACCTACCCCACGGCGAGTGACCCATGTGTGTGTGTGTGTGTGTGTGTGTGTCTGTGTGTGTGTGAGGGCTGTAATCCCTTAGAGTCCTTCGCCTGCCTCACGGACTATAGTGTGTTTCAAGTTACCTGAGGCAGGTTGCATACTGGCTTCGTGTAGAGGCAGCTTAATGTTGAGGTTTATATTTTGTTAATTCTTTATTGGGTCTCTATTACCTCCTGGACTTTTAACACTCTCAGGTAAACTAGCCAAAATACAGACTGATTCATTTTTATAAACAGAATTTTTTTTCCAGCTTCAGAGATTTTGCAAGATAAGAACCAGAACCGGAGGTAAAACTAACTTCAGATGGCAAAAACCCCTAAATAGCAGAAAGCTGTATCTTTTGACTGGAAGTTCAACGAAGAATGCATTATGTAATGTTTTTACAGTGTTGATTTGTCTTTTTACAATAAGTATTTGTAAACTCTGAAATGTGATTTGTGTTTTTACCCTGAAAAATGTTCATTTAGTTGATATATTATATAATATTTTCAAGTATAAACTCCGGAATTTACTCTTCCACCAACTCATTATAAACGAGTGAACTTCTTAAGGGCTGCCCAACATGACTTAAGATTGACAGAATTCAAATCTATTTGTGCTTTTTCCTGGCTTATTAGAAAATGCCAAAGACCTCTCAGGCAATGCCTTGGGTTCAGGAGGAGCACTGGAGAAGATGGGTAGAGTCAAGCAAGAGAAAAGTGAGAAAGTCAGATTAAACAACTAATTTCTAATCAGCTACTTCTTTAAGACAGCAAGTCACACGTGGATTTACATACTTTCAGCTAATAATGAATTTAAAGGAAGTGTACCAACCATAAGACCAGCTTTTTCTTGGCCAGAATCCATTCATGCAAAAGGTCATGGACAGCTGATCCAGTTCTAAGCCATCAAACGCTACAAACATTTCTCTCAATCAACCGGCAACTTTCTGATGGGCAAGCAAGCAGTATATTAACCGATTGTACTAGAAATTCTCACAAGGCTTCAATGCGGCTTTGAAAAAGATCCATGCTTTTAGATGACGAATTAAAGCTTTCTAATGCAATATTAGCAAAATTAACTTGAGATTTCACTCATACCGGTATCATGAATTTTAACTATGAACTTCTAAGATAAATCTGGTCAAACCCCCACTTTTCCAAACCAAACTGATTCATTAGTGATACTAAAAGCAAATAAATCTATATATATAAAAGGCAAAGCCCTCAATGACTGACTGACTGACTGACTGACTCACTCACTCACTCATCACTAATTCTCCCACTTCCCATTTACCTAGGAGGCTGAAATTTTGTACACTGATTCTTTAGGCATTAAATAGGAAACCTAAGTTGTTTTTATTCTGATCGGACTCTTGGGCTCCGCCCCAGTGGCTCTGGAGTTTCCCGCGTTAACCTTATGAGTACTAATATTTAAATGGAATTAATGAATCTTAACAGCTGTTTCAATTAAACAAGTTGGTTCTGTTCTATGATGTGCAATAGAATTAAAGTTACAAGGATTACCAACAGGGTGCAGCACTATTGTTTTTTTTTTAATTTATGACAACAGCTAATTTGCAACCAAAAGGTGAGTGAGCGTAGCGAACGAACTTCAACCTGGAGGCGAGTTAGCGCAGCGAACGAGCTAACCTGAAGGCAAGTGAGCGCAGCGAACGAGCTCCAACCTAAAAGTGAGTGAGCGTAGCGAACGAACTTCAACCAGGACGTGATTGAGCCATGCGAACGAGCTCATCTTGAAAATTAAGAAGTTAAACGGGGCAAAGCCCGCGGGTACAGCTAGTACTTATATATTATAACAGCTAATATCACACCAAATCCATATTTTCCACCACATTGAGCTTTTCTTTAAAATGTTACATTCTCATAGTTGGTTATAACAGGAATTAGTAAGAATCACGAATACTTAAACAGAACTTGGTTAGCAACACATTCTAGTATTAGTCTTGTATTCTTATCACGATTACTTGAACAGACATGGTATGGATCATAAACATAAACAAATGACATTGCTGGCCCGAATCCTACACTAATAGCATTAACATATGTTTCTTTAGTTCCATTTAAGCAATGTTAAATAATGTATATTTTTGGGTCAGTAACCATCATTAGTGTAGGTTTATGATCCTTACCATGTCTGTTCAAGTATTTGTGGTAAGAATATCAGACTAATACTGGGTGTTTTGCTAACCAAGTCGTTAGACTCGGACGTCAATGTGGGAGGGTCGAGTTTGATTCCCGGCAAATCCGCAAAAACACATGGGTTTGGACCGCTTGTCTCAAAAGATTTTGAATCCTCTCTAAAATACCTTATCTTAAAAACAGCAAGAAAAAAATATTGATAAGTGTTTTAATATACGGGCTGACAAGTTAACCATTAAACATTATCAGACCGCTCAATTAATCATTTAGTACGGTAAATTTTGAAAATCAGCTAAATCTAGCTTCCGTTGAATATTTCTGTAGAATAAAGTTGCTATCATCCATACAAAGATATGGGAAACTTTGTTATTTTGACATAAATTATATTTGCAAAATACTCTATATCTTATTTAAATGAAGATAAGATCCCCATTTAATATTCTTTAATGGAAGAACGTGAAAGTTTTAAACTAACAACTAAAATATTTTGATAATAATCTCTCAATTGCTCTTTAATCTCAAGATGGGCTGATTTTCATTTCATTAGACTAGTATTTACAAATTGTAATCCTTCAGTTGAAATGAAACGGCAAGAATTTGTTTGTGTTATTTTCTTCTTGGTACAAATACATTTGGTAAGCAAGCACATTATTTTATTCAATTAAAAATGAATTCAGTAATGTTTATTGATATTTGACGATAAGTAGTGATTATGTTGAAAACAGGAGCACAGCTAAATCACTTGTATATGAAGAACAAGTCAACTAGTATAGGAAGAGCCTGTGCGCTACAACTGCTGTACAAATATGCTATGTGGCCATCACTTTTTGGGCTCTTCCTTGTTAAAAACTAGTACATTTCCGCCTCACCATACCAGAGCTAAAAGAGCACAGTTGAACCAAAAGTTTGTGTCCTCTGTATTTTAATTCTCTGTACCAACACTGAGGTGTATTTTGGTTGTTTAGTCAAAGAAGGGTAGGTCAGTCTACCCTTATTTTAAAAGCCAAAATGTTTAAGGGTTGTGAATTTTACGTTGACGTATTCAATACAAATTAGTAATTGACATTAGCACACTCTGTTGGTTTTAATTTAACTAAGCTCATTTTAAAAACCACTTTTACGTGGGATGTGTACTTCTATGAAGAGTCAAAGGTTAAATACATTTCATATCTAAGAGTAACAAATCAGCGAGTTTTTTTACAGATAAAGCTCTGTTTCATTAATATGACAACTTTAGCTTAAAAATAATTTAACACCATTTAGGTTCTTTTAAATATATCATATAATATACTATCTATATGATTTATTGCAAACATTATTGAAATAAAAAAAACCCCATAGTTTAGCTAAGTCCTAAATGTTTTAGTTGCCGATATCTACAGAAGTGATCCTTGGAACCTCCGAGTTCGCAAGACTTTTGGAGTCCGATACTTTTGTAGACAAGACGCTCCTCATACCAAGAGTGGTTGCTGATGGTGTTACCGTAGCAACAGCTCCCCGGCTGTATGGAAAGTCTGCCATTTTGGACATGCTCAAGACCTTTTTTGAAGTTCAAGTAGACCAGGAAGGGGTTCACATGACGAGGCTAAAGGGCGGAGCAGTCACAGACACAAGCAACTACGAGCTCTTCATAAAAAACAACTTGAAGATCACAAGAAACACTGAATTTATGACCGAACACTTTGGCAAATATCCTGTACTGAGTTTAGATTTCAAATGTGACCGCCCGATTAGGAGCTACAACGACGCTTTAATGGTTTGCAAGCGCGTCGTTCAGAATTGCTTCAAGCAGCACAGTTACCTTTTGAAAAGCAAGAAGTTGAATCAAGAAGCGAAAGACTTCATTCTGGACAGAAGTAGTTACATCAAGGACGACATTGATGAGTACTACACAAACATGGATTTGCTAGTGTTGTCGGAGCACTTGAAAAATCATTTCTACGACAGAAGAGTCGTTGTGTTGATAGACAACCACGACTCAATTTTCCGAAGTGCGATAGGAAATGTGGCGGATGAAGCTGAACTGGAGAAAATAGTTCATGTCAATATCGAACTGATGGAAAACCTACTTTCATGCAACGACCACAATCTAGGGTACGCATTTGTTACTGGGGTTTTCCCGATACCACTGATAGGTTACGTGACATTCCACAGTTATGAGATTCGTAGATTTCTTCAAAATGAAACTTACACTGAGTTCTTCGGGTTTAGCGAGAACGAAGTTGAACAACTCATGGGAAATCCAGCACTCAATGTTGATTCAAATATGTTCAACCAAGTGCAAAGTACTTACAATGGCTACATCGGAGTGGACGGAAAACGAATCTACAACTTTTACTCTGTACTGAATTTCTTAAACACTGGAGCTATTGGAAACTACTGGATTGATTCCAAAGATGTTGATAAGTTGAGAGAAATTTGCAGTGTTCCCGCTTGCAAGGAGCTGGTCAAGAAACTTTTGCAAGGCCCTGTAACACTACATGATGATAGAAACCTTTTTCCTCCTCCGAACAAGGATCGTACAAGAAAACACTATTTCTCTTTTGCAGATATTAAACTTTGGCAAAACATGCTTTTGAGTCCTGACAGCGTAGAAGATTGGTCTCAAGACGGATTCTTTTACTACTATTTGCTTGAGGAAGGTTTCCTTATTCAGGACGTAGTAGTGGTGACAGATCTGTGGTCCAATGTAACTCTTCACATTCCCAACACAGAGGTTACACACGCTTTCAACCAGTTACTGGCTTAGTCACATCACTAAACAAAAACAACTATCGACTCCTCACACAACCCAAACTCAAACATACTACAAATGCAAGTTATATAACGGCCAATTTTAGTGAGGTTGATAGAGTTGTATGTTTATTAGTAGGTTATCTTGTCTATCTTTGAATGATTAGAACTGCTTCATTGTGCTGTTCTTTACTAAAATCGTGTGTTTTCTTTATATTTGTTTTACAATAACAGTTAAAACTTATATTCAAACGTATGATAAATTGCATGGTAAAGTCATTGTTAGATTAGTCTTTTATTGTTTTTACTGCCTTTTGTAGATTGTAAGATTTGACACAAATTTGTATTAAACATGTACTAAATATGTAATCTAGTTTAGTCGGCGTTTTAAAATTACTATATAAAAACGATTGAATAGTTACATAATATGATTACTGTTTGCTTATATAGCCTAGAACTACTATTTACAAAGACATTAAAAAAATAAAAATGGTATTCAAATAGCTGATGTGGCATCTGGTTATCTATAATTACTGTAAGCTACAGTCAAGACTAAGGGAGGTGAATGGGTTATAAATAAACTATTTTAGCTTACCAAACTTTTAATTTGTTTTCTGACTCTTTTCAAAAGTTTTTCTTGCAAAACTAAATCCCCAGAAATTTCACATTTAGAAATTAGTTTAATTTGCTTCTTCAAAAACTTCTCCATCATAGACCATTGCAACTTATCACAATCCTTCAGATACGTTTTTTGAACCATCTTTCCATTAGTGGAAGAGTGTCTCACATTACATTCAACTTCTAAAAATTTCAACAAGTCTTTGGACGATTGAATGTTCTTGATGGAATGTTCATACGATGCACTTATTTTAGGGGTTAGAATACAGCTACTGTCTCTCGTTTTTGTGGCTTTATGATTTTTCTGAACCGGTAACGGAGATATTGTCGAACTGGTATCAAACCGTTGCTTCTTTGGCACTATTGTATCATTTGCTGTTTTAGTATTGTTTCTCTTATTTGGTTTGGGCAACGGTAAAGGAAGCATCTCTACGTCAATTGTACAGTCGATATCTTTAGATTCTCTTGACACAGTTTCTGAAAAAAAACAAAAACAATTTAACCTTGAAATATGTGTGCAAAAAGATCAAAGAGTTTTGGGGTACAAGCCACTACACTACGAAAATTGACAACTTTATATATTTTAATTTATTTCTTTATTGTACAGATAAATGTATATACAAATAACAAAAAATATCATACCACTTAATAGCTCTAAATGAAATGAAATGTTTATTCGTCACATAAGTTTACAAGATTGTGATTTTCATATATAAACATATGACATGTCAATCTACTTTACTATCTAATAATACCTTATGCTAAATTCATTGTTTTTATCAATCCATAAAACCTAAAGCTAAGTTTTTATAAAATCATCTAGGGAATAAGGACACAAGAGAATGAGATAAGATTTTAATTTTCTTTTAAAGGATGACATATTTTCTTCAGTTTTAATTTGATCTGGGAGGTTATTGTAAATTTTCCTACCCATGTACCATGGCGATCCTTCATACAGAGCTGTTCTATGCACAGGATATGGAAGACCATTCCTGTTTCGGGTTTACCGTCTTAAGGTCTGGACTAGGATGTAACTTAGAGCAAAATAGCCTAGCTTGTAATGGTCACATTTTATTGGGGGGTTCGTTTTAATTATTTAAAGGCCGCGAAGGCTTGAGCGCGCTTGACAACAATGTCACACATGTCCACTGCAGCTGGTCATGTCTCCTAGTTCGAGACTCGCCCGCTGTCACCTTGAAGCGCTGCCGTAGACGTGGTGGGGAGAAGCCGAGACCAGCGGACAGGGGATAGTTCTTGAGACAGTCGGCGTCGAGCGTTAGGTTCGCGCACACCAACCAACCCTCCTTAGGCCGTGCGAGCGAACCAAATAATAAGGTATCCGGACGAAGGCGAGAGTAACCCGGATGTAAATCTGGAAGTGTCGTGTTACGTAAGTACACTGTATATAGCTAGCGTATACGTTGTATTCATCCCCGTATCCACTTTGGCGAGGGAAATTGCGTTATTTATTAGGCTATTCTAGGACGTTTATCGTAGTTTATTATAGAATAACGTAGTTTATCGACCGACGCTGCGAGTGTAGTGTCGCAGTCACATACGCCGACTTTTAGTCATCCAAAGTGGTTTTGTTTTATTGTAATCAGGAGTTTTTATTTATTTTCCTTAAAGTCAAGAAGAATTGGCCTAGGTGCCTTCTACGTTTTGTTTTATTTCCTTATTTACTTATCGCGAGTTAGCGTCGTTTTCTTTTAATTCCGAGAAGATTATTTTTAGTTTTATTTCGAGAAGTGAGATCTTTCGTTAAGCCTAGGAGCTGGTTATTTATTTTATTTCCTAATCGTCGCCTATTTATCTATCAGCCCTAGTAGTTAGCTTAGACTTGGCCTTGTCAGCGCGTCGCTGTGCTGACACCAAGTTATAGGAGTAACTATAGTTAGTGTATTCCTTAATAGCAACTCGTGTACGGTGCGTCGACGTGCCGAGGTACACAGTGTGTACTTGTGTACTAGCAGATCGGCGCGACATTAACATCTACGAAGATCCAGAAGTGGGAAGCGAGCGACGAGGATTGTCAGCGAGACCCTGGACTACTCGAGCTGTCCGAGCAAATCGGAGGTAAGTTTACGATAGGTGCCCTACCCGACATAAACACCTCACAAAGTGGCGCCTCCGAACAGGGACATTGAAAGTTTCGTTATTATCGTAATATTCATACGTGCTTCACGTATTGGCGCCCGAACGGTAAAATCGATATCGTAGTGGTTTTTTCTTTGGAATATAAGAAAAAGCGAAAATGGTAGGATCGAGTGTTAGCGCGAAAACTACGCCTAAAACGGTCAGAGCGGTGACTGAATCGACCTCGACTACGACGACTACAACTGCCGGGTCTTTACAAGCTCAAGTAGCGCAAACTATTTCACAACCAACTGTGCCATCGACTTTAAGTTTTCCCGCTACGACCGCAGAGGCTACTCAGCCTCAGGTAGGTACAACGACGACACAGTTAATGGTACCAACGACTTTAAATTTACTTACTACGACTGATCGTACGTTGACGTCTAAGAGTCCCTCAGAGGATGACCCGCGAATTGGGTGGATTCACACGTTAACCAAGGATGAACTTCGTTACGAAATGAGTCGATACGGTTTGCCTAATATGGGGACAGTCGACGAACTTCGCAAGTCGTTTTGTAAATTTTGGAAACATGGCATTCCCCGAGCAGTGTACGGTAAGGACGTGAATGATAGCGTGGACGGTGCGACTGCACTTCCACTCAGGTACGACACGGGATATGTCGACTCGCGACCAGGTGCCAGTGACATACGAAGTGCGGAACTTGACAGAGTACGGGAGATAGTTGGTTTGCCTCCAGGAACCAACTTTGAGGACGTTTGTCGTTCGTTATCAAGCCTAACAATGCGCGCTGATAACAATCAGGCCAACAATCAGGCTAGTAATTATCCAGTCAATATGTTACAATCAGATCGTTTTACAAATTCCGAGGGGTTAGTGTATAGTACACTAACCAGACCAAGTGTTAACTATGCTTTCGACACCTCCCACTCTACAGATTCGATTAATCGAACTACGGTGCCCGGTACCGGTCAGCGACCGTACGGTGGGTTCGCGAGCGAACAACTAGGTATTGCTACACAGGCAAGCGTGAATCACGGATTCAGTAGTGGTTTGCCTTCGTGTCACGAAAATTTGAACGTAATTCGTAAGGTTGGTGTTGACGTCTCGGCGTTGTGCAATCTAGTTCGAAAGTGGAACGTTCGTTTCGACGGCACTAAAGACCCCGTTTCTTTCTTGGAACGCCTGGAAGAGCTTATGGAGGCCTACGAAATTAATAAGAACGATATTATACGAGCACTCCCCGAGCTACTACATAGTAATGCACTGTTGTGGTATCGAAACTATAAGGACTCCTGGCATAATTATGAGTCATTTAGATCGAGTTTCGAACTACAATTCCTACCACCGGGATACCAGCGAAATCTAGACGAAGAAATTCGGCGTCGGACTCAAGGTGACAACGAAGCGTTTAGAAACTTTGTTGTGGCTTTAACTACTCTCATGCGACGCAAGGGAACCCTCAGTCTCCACGAACAATTGAATATTTTGTATACGAATATGAGACCCGAATATAAGTTGACGATGAGGAGACACGATTTTTTCTCGGTCGACGAAATGCTCAGACAAGCGGAACACGTTGAGAGCTATTTTAGGGAAAAATCTCTTTTCCGCCCCCCTCCCCCTCCGTCGGCAGCGTTGGTCCCTGAAACGGCTTATCACCCGAGACGAGGACGCGATAATAAATCGGGAGATAATTTCGGAGTTTCGACGATTGGCGAGTGTCAGTCGTCAACTGGCGTGACGGGACGATTAACCGAGAAGCGCGTAGGCTTCCGGTCAGAGGCAAGACCACGTAGGTCACGAGAACACTCTCCGAACCCCCGGACGGGTAATTTTACGAGGACTTCGTCATCTACAAAACCACGACGTAACTTGGAGCGTGAGCGCGGAGGTTCACCCCGAGAAAACACTGCAGTTCCGCGATGGCCGAATAACATGAGAGAAAAATCTGCTATCACATGTTGGAACTGTGACAAGAAAGGTCACATGTTTCGTGACTGCCGTATGCCCAGAACTCTAAAGTGTTTCTATTGTAAAAAGGTGGGTATCCGAACCCACGATTGTCGGTGTCGAGGAAAATACCAAATGAGGTCGCCTGAATCCTCAGTAGTACCTTCTACGAAGACCTCCCCGGACTGGTGCGCTTGGTTAGAGAAAATTAAGCAATTCCCGGAAACCGACAACGCTCAGGTTCAGGCCAACGACAGACGACCGCACGTATCGGTGACGATAGCAGGGCGAGAGTTCGCCGCGCTAATAGATACAGGTGCCGTAGTCACGTTGATCGGCACGGCGGTGGCACGTCACTTGGAACAGTCTGGAATTATGTCTGTTTTGACTCCTATGGTAGTGAGACTCGCCAACGGTAGTTATTCGAAGTCGGACAAGTCCTATCACTTCAAAGGTCTATTGAAAGGACGAATGGAAGAGTTCCATGCTCTGTATCTTCCCACGCTTACCAGTGACATAGTTCTCGGGATCGATAGCTTAGAGCGACTGAACTTGGTGACATACCACGTGGAGGTAGAGAATACGAGACCGAACGCGCCTGATGGAGTGAACGAACGGCACGGTGTTGAGGCTCAGTACCAGACAGGTACCGCCAACAATGTGGCTGGTGCGTTATCGCAACAGGCAGAAGGTGTCGCCGAGTATACCTCCATCGAGACAGCGGTGTGTCCCATTCAAGTATGCGTTAACTCGAACGCTAAAACACCCGGGAGTGATCCAGAAAGGTTGAATGAACGATCTGGTGGCACAGACAGAGGGTACGATAAACTTTGGACCAAGGTGAATGTTAATCCCGGGAGTTTCGATAAATACATTATTCGTAGCGGCAAGCTATTTC